TGAAAATTCGCCAAACAGATTATTAAACCGGTTTTTCGAACTCAACTCGATGGAAAATAAGATGCAGCTTGAATCCGAAAGCTCAAACCATAATTAAGGCCCAACGACAGCTTAGACCCCAGCCGTATTTGCCCATTTTTTTTTTAATCGGCGGCTCAGGTTTTTTAAGTGACCCTCGAATTACATTGTTTGTCATTCACAATATTCTTATTAAGACATGTTTGTTTTGCTTTTGTTCATATTCTTAAATTATGCATCAATTGTACTTTCAATTGAACTGTTGAAGCCTGGGGTGCACCACACACCGGACTAACCAGAGTGAGCAGCAATTTGAAATCAAACGTGTTTTGGTCTTTGATTTTATAATCATTTACCTTACGGATTTGTTTATTTTATACATTTTCATTCAAAATGCATATGCCAACAAAAAAGTATCCAAGAAAAAAGGCTAACAAATTATGTTTAATGGGTCAAATTGTGATTGAAAGTCACAGCTTTCTGGAATATTGACAGAACCGTTAAATCCATGTGACCAGTAATGGTTAATGTGATTAATATTAAGATTCATTTAGGAATATGCCAACAGTTCCTTTAATTCTATGGGAAAGGGATTGAAATCAATAATTTAGCCTCAATTTTAGAAAAATTCTATTAATATTTTAAAGGAAATGTTTCAATCTTCTGGATTATTTTGCAGTTAGAGAGACTGTCATAGCTGTTAACATGACTTCAAAGAAGGCATTCCAGAAAATTGTAAACTTTTTGCTCAGAAATAAAACAATATTTTTATGCAATTTGAAAAAAAATTTAATTTCCATGACCTGAAATCGCAACTTTAGTATTAAGATATTATTAATCGTTGATCTCGATATACAATATGGGCACTTATGAATATCACGGGAAATCGAAGAGAAAGTAAATTAATCCGTTTGCATAATTAAGATATCCCAAGATTCAAAAGTTCTGACCACTGATTAGATCTAAAGATTAAGCGTGTTTTAAGAATTAATTGACAAAAGATTAATGATGATGTCATATTTAAAGAGATTGTTCATGTAGTTTAAGTAACTTCTCGTTCATATTTTATTTCTAAAATTTTTTATTTTCAATTAAGGTTTCTCTCTTGAAGTTACTTGCGAATTTCCGCTGACAATTTTAAAGTCAGAAAAACGACATCTTTGATATCTTTGATCATATAAATGTTTTTAGGGATCGTTATGAATCGATCCTCTATCAATGGAATCAAGTCAACTGAGCCCGCGATTTAAAAACTTTGGCTCTAGCCGTAATTCCTTAAACCCGACTTTAAGACCCAATCTTCAACCCAATTCTGTGTCAGCTTGTGTTGATTGTTTTAAGATCCGAGTCACGTGGATTTTACGGTTCTGTCAATATTCCAGAAAGCTGGGACTTTCGATCACAATTTAACCCATAAAACATAATTTTTTAGCCTTTTATCTTAAATAGTTAAATATGCATTTTAAATAAAAAAGTATAAAAGAAACAAATCCGTAAGGTAAAAGGTTGTTAAATTAAAGACCAACACAAGTTTGATTTCAAATAGAAGAAACCGAATGCTGCTCACTCTGGTTAGTCCGGGGTGGAGTCGAATGTTGCAACTTTCTGAATTTAAATGGACGCTATAACGTTCTTCGGTTTTTAACAATTTTCCCCTTATAGATGCAACAGATAAAAGTAAGATTAGTAGCAATCCCCATCGATAATTTTTCGCTGTAAGCTTTTACCCCCTTTAATTTTTCGCGAACACTCCCTTTAAAGAGCTAGAAAAACGACGATATCTTCCTCATTGTTGCTCAGATATATATTTCAAGGGTACCGTTATGAAAACTTTGATGGGAGCATCTTTAGATTTCACGACAGTAGTTTCTTTACAAATATGAATTGTTTAAGCGGCCCAGATTGCTAGAAACAAAAAGTCTGAGGGAATAATGCTGTTAATGCCACTCATAATTTAATTTTTTTTGCATCTAAAAATAGTAATAAAAATAAAGATAATATCATCTTTAATGAATGGATAAAATAGTTGAAAATTGTAAACCTTTTGCTCAGAAATAAAACAATATTTTTATGCAATTTGAAAAAAAAAATTAAATCCCCATGACCTGAAATCGCAACTTTAGTATTAAGATATTGTTAATCGTTGATCTCGATATACATTATGGGCACTTATGAATATCACGGGAAATCGAAGAGAAAGTAAATTAATCCGTTTGCATAATTAAGATATCCCAAGATTCAAAAGTTCTGACCACCACCATAAACAAGGGTTTTGTCAAAATCAAGGGTTTCATCAAAACCAAGGGTTTCATCGCAACCAAGGGTTTCATCAAAACCAATGGTTTCATGTAAACCAGGGGTTTCATCAAAACCAAGGGTTTCATAAAAAACAATGGTTTCAACAAAACCAAAGGTTTCATCAAAACCAGGGTTTTTTAATCTAAAAACAAGGATTTCATCAAAACGACAGGTTTAATCAAAACCAAGGGTTTCATAAAAAACCAAGGGTTTCATAAAAACCAAGGGTTTCGTCAAAACGAAAGGTTTCATCAAAACCAAGGGTTTCATTAAAACCAAGGGTTTCATCAAAACCAAGGGTTTCATCAAAACAAAAGGTTTCATCAAAACCAAGGGTTTCATCAAAACCAAGGGTTTCATCAAAACCAAGGATTTCATAAAAATCCAATGGTTTCATTAAAACCAAGGGTTTCATCAAAACCAAGGGTTTTGTCAAAACCAGGGGTTTCATCAAAACCAGGGGTTTCATCAAAAACAATGGTTTCATCAAAACCAGGGGTTTCATCAAAAACAGGGTTTCATCAAAACCAGGGGTTTCATCAAAACCAGGGGTTTCATCAAAACCAGGGGTTTCATCAAAACCAAGGGTTTCATCAAAACCAAAGGTTTCATCAAAACCAAGGGTTTCATCAAAACCAAAGGTTTCATCAAAACCAAGGGTTTCATCAAAACGAAAGGTTTCATCAAAACCAAGGGTTTCATCAAAACTAAGGGTTTCATCAAAACCAAGGGTTTCATCAAAACCAAGGGTTTCATCAAAACCAAGGATTTCATCAAAAACAATGGATTCATGAAGACCAGGGGTTTCATCAAAACCAAAGATTTCATCAAAGCCAAGGGTTTCATCAAAACCAAAGGTTTCATCAAAGCCAATGGTTTCATCAAAACCAAATTGTATAGTGCAGGGCAGATGGTTATTTTGCATATATTTTACGTTCTATCTATCTCTCTATCTATCTATCTCGCTTCTGCCTCATAAAAAGGAAGCAAAAAATGAAAGAAAGAAGGAAAAAGTGGAGAAGATTGGCATAAAATTAAATTTTTCTTATCAATATTATATGTAAAGAATTATTTTTTCTTCATAATAAAGAAAAATTGAGTGCTTTATAAAATAAATTATTTGGTAATTTTTATTTCTATCCTGTCTTGTGATATGATAGGGTTAAATTTTTTCTTGTATTTTCAGAAGCTAATCTTTTTCCTTTCTTTTCTTAGTTTAATGATTCCACAGGGAATTTTTTTTACGAATTTTAGTTTCAGAGAAAATTGAAGAAATTGAAGATTAAAGATCTTTACAGCTTTGCATTTACATCCTTACGTGATTTAAAAATTTTCAGTAATACTTTTATTTCCAATTTAAAGGGAGTGACCGGCTATGTAAGGAAGTTGAACTGAGTATGCATGTTGTTGTAAGCTTCTTTCGGATTCATTTGAAACATATTATACGTTTTAAAGATCTGTAAATCCTGAGTTTGCGCGCAAATTCGATGTTCAAAACTCCTACTTTGGGGGTGAATACGTTTTCAGAATTAGTTTTTTTTTAATTATTAAATAACAACGACATAAAATGTAAAAAAGTTCTACAATAAACTACAGACGTCATGTAAAGGAACATGTTGAGAAAATAAAAATTAATCTTTTCATCGAATCTTGTTCAATTATTAGTTTATATTACCACATTATTCTGGTTTCTCATTATTCACAAAGATTTTCGCAGATTTTCTTCTAGAATTATTATTGAAAAGACGACATTTGAAGAATTTGAAGAAATTTGCGAATAAATTCAAAGAAAATAAGACATTCAATATAATAATGAAAACGAAATAATCGATTTTAGCATTGATTTATTGACAAATTTCTTTTGAGAAATATGTTCCTAACCATCTAATTAGACTACTGTATAATTTTTACTTTATTTTTCGTTGTCGTTATTTAATAATTAAAAAAACTAATTCTGAAAACGTATCCACCCCCAAAGTAAGAGTTTTGAAGGTCGAATTTGCGCTCCAAGTAATATTTGGTTATTTTATGTTCTCAGAAAGCAAATTGTCAGATAGTAATTAAAAACTCTTATTAATTGAAATGGGACTGATTACACTTTTTCGGCAGAACTACGGAAATGTTCTCAGAAGAGTTGGTTTAAAAGATAAGTTACTAGGCAAAGCTCAGCCAGGGGCGTATTCAGGAATTTGTCCAGGGGGGGTAGGGAGTGTTCCCGAAAAATGTAAGGGGGTATAGGCTTACGGCGAAAAATAATCGCGGTGAAATATCGTTTGCACTAATGATTGATCGGACTAACGTACGTTCGTACTAACGTTCATTCGCACTTTAGTGCGACTGAACAATTGATTGTTCAATCAAAATAAAATCCACGTGGAGGGGTTTTTAAGCACGTTGAGAACTACTTTTTTTCAAATTCTAGCGGAATTCGGTTCATTTAATCATATAGCTCCATTGAACATATTGTGGTGGGAATGAACAAAAAAGGTTCAATTGAACTAACGCTATTAGTGCTACGTTCTTCAGTATAAGTCGTTTTTAACAATGTTCTTCATATAGACGCAACAGATAGAAGTAAGATTAGTAGTGATCAGCTTTAATTTTTCGCGAACACTTCCTTTAAGACCTATGGTTAGTGGGAAAAGGTGAACTATATCGGAAGAAAACAATTTATATCAAGAAAATTTGAGGTTGTAATTATTTATTTTTGAAATAGAAATATACGCTGGAGGATGTATACAGAGAATACGTATTCCTGGCATTTTTGGAACAAAAATATATATTTTAAATCTCATCCGAGCCTTTAATTTTAGAAATCAAATTTCTCTGGTAGTCGGGATGAGGTCTAAAAAGTATACCTTTGATACAGAACAATTAAATAACTAGAACAAAATTACCACTGAAAAAAAACAACAAATAAAACGCACCGCAGCGGTGAGAATACGAAAAAAGGAAGAATTAAAAAGTGCATTTTTCTACTCTCCGTTAATATTTAATATCTGAATAATATCACTAAATTTCATCGAAACACACAATGTCTCAAGAATCACAAAATACATAAAAAAAGACAAGGCTTCGAAAGAGCGTAAATTTTGCGTAAAATTACTAAGGATATGTTCGTTTTTATTTCTCATTGATATTTACTGACACTACAATAAAAGAGAATAAAAAATACGCCCCTCCGGAGTACCACGCCCATCCCCCCCCCCCGTTTCCGGAAATTTCGTGATAACAGCTTTAGATGATATTTGTGGAGAAAAAAATTGTTTGTAAATTTTTCTAAATGTCCTAACATCATAACCCCGAGTATAATGTGGAAATTTGTCGAGAAATTAAGAAGAGGTTCCGATAACATTTTAAAGATTTTTAGATTTCGTGCAAATATTGCAAAATAAATTAAGCTTCTTTTCGTTAAAGGTCTAAATGTTGAAAAATAATAGCTTGAAATGAAAAATCTAAAAAGCTTAAAACATTATCGGACAGTATGTTCGCTTATATAGCGGTTTTTGTCTACTAAAGTTCACCTGGCCAAGGGTTGAGTAAACCTCACAATTTTATTCAAAATCAAAATGTGTTTTAACCTTGAAAAAACTTAACTTTTTTTATTTTGCGGGAGCAGAATTTTGCCCTGAAACAGAGGAAACCATCATGACTTTTAATAGTTTTTAGAAAATCTTTATCTTTCTCAACATTCAAAGAGTTGACGAGACAAGAGAAGGAAGAGGGGGAGGGGAGTTAGGAGAAAGGGGGAGGGGGTATTGATTATTCTCTGCTCTAATCCATTCTTATGACGGTATAGAGATAAAACTAGAACATTTACTTTTAATTCAGAACTTAATATTTTTCTAAAATCAAATAAATAAGAACCAACTTTAGGAGTAAACAAACTGTACATAATCTTTGTACATAGTCTTATTGACTGGCGAAGGATGTACAGCTGTACAGAAATAAGAAATAACACAATGATGGTGCTTGGCGGAAGCTGCCAGCAATTAATTCGTGTTTTTACAAACAGATTAAAAATTATTTTCTCACAGAACATTTCAGCGGTTTAAATATTACAATTTCAAAACTTTAAATCGACTTTCGTGACAATTCCGACGCCATTTTGTCCAGTTTCCGGGAATCCGCCAAATTAAATTTTCCCGCCGTTTTCACGATTTCGCAGATTTCTCCTGCAAAGTGCGGTCTGCCGTTTCCATGAATGTTATGTTTTAATATTTATGTTACTAAATATATTATTTGTCACTAGAACACACTGCTACTAGCTAGATGGGGGCGTGGCCCAACTATTGATATTGCCCCGTAAACATAGAACCAAGAGTTTCATAAGATGGCTGGGCGTGACCAAGCATGCCCAGCATATCTACACTCTCTGTTGTAGGCGTGGCACTCAGTTCCCCCGCCCCGTTATTGTTCTGCCACTGCCACATTCCCGGAGGTGGAACTGCAGCGACACCAGGGCGGACATATCCGCCACCAGGACTTCGGGACGGAGACATTCCGCCGTAGGGGTAGGTTTCCGGGCCAGGTGTGGATCCGGGTTGGGGCCAGGCAGACTGTGGCGGAGTAGGTGAACCACTTGCCTTCCCTACACTTCCTCTTCCTCCTCCAACCGGTTGAAGTCCTTGACCCGGTGACCCGTATCCTACCGGTGATGGAGTAGGATCATAACTATAAACACCCGCCTGCCCGCCGTACATATCCTGACGTCCACCCGGAATACTATAGTCTAACCCGCCGGCGGCAGGAGCTGCAGCGGCGTGGCGGTAATCAGAATTGGAAAGCGGTTCAGCCGCGGCGGTTACACCGGTAGATTTGGCGGGACTGTTGGTACACACAATGTACTCTATCTCGTCAGTATATGGATTAACAAAGGTGAAGGCGGAAGTACGGAGCCAAACCCATTCGCCGTTCTTTGCTCGAAATCTACGCGAAAAAAATATTAATAAATCAACTCAATCCTTCACCAAAAGAAACTATGAAAAAAACACAATTAAATTTTTTTGTGAAAAATGTTTAATATATCTTTTGGTCTTTTAAAAAAAGAACATTTTTTCGGTTCATGAGTGGTAAAAAGCTTCTAATGTAAAAGAATAATAATAAAATATGTTTACCTGTACATAAAGGTAAACACTTGGCCCTTCATTTTGATCACCTAAAAAACAAGAAAAAATAAAAATGATAAAATATTATTAAAGGGAATGTTTTAGTGACTTTTTACTTTAGAGTTGTATGTCCGATGCAAAACGGCAACTTTTTAAACTTTGTCTAATCCAGAATGTTTTTGATATCCATGTTTGAATCTTTAAAAAATCTTTAAGCATTGGGAGTCACATGAAATTACAATGACAGTCCCTTTAAATTAATCATAAATTTGTAAAATAACCTATTTTAAGATTATGCCCATGTCAATTTCAAAATACCATTCAATATTAAGAACAAAATTATTTCTTATAAAAAAATGTACGTTCCCATGCATTATACTAAAGCAATTATTTAAAAGTTCAACTACCAGATGTCAGAACAATTTCATGAAACTATATTTTCCTTTAAAAATAAATGTGAAAATATTAGATATTTCTCCACCAATGTTTTAAAATATCGAACTTATCGCAATCTCCTTTTAACCGTGCAGCACCGACAGAAAGTTTTTCGGCGTCCATGGTGGACGGATTGTATGAAACTCTCTTCTCTCAAACTTTGGATGGCAATTCACAATCTACACCCTTTTATATTTTTCGAGAACAGTCCCTTTAAATCCTGCTTGAAATTGTTCTTCAACAGCACGTTGGATTACCTAATATAACGTTCTGGGAACATTTTTGTGAACTAACCTGCTCGAAGCTATCCTTCATGTGGGACTGGTCCTCGGTATGGATAAGGTCGAAGCAGGACTTGCCGAGTAGCTCCGGGGGTGAGAACCCCATAATGTTGATGATCCTGTGGTCCACGAACGTAAACTTGCCATCGAGCGCGTGCCGGGATACAAACTCGTGCGCGCTCTCAGCGTTGTTCAAGTCACTCGCGTTGGGGCTTGAGGTGACCTAAACGCATATGTAAATATAGCTTATATATATTCAATTAAATATCAATCCAGTTTCCGATACTGAAATGATACAAAGCAAAAAGTGGACGAGTGTACACACCAATGAATTACCAACTGATATTGTATGATATCACTGTATTGATATATATGCTGACAACTATATTTGATTCTTATTATCTGAATTCTGACAAAAATGAAAAAGAAAGAATTAATCTAGGAGAATACGATTAAGGGCAGTGAATGAAAAGAAATGCATAATGTAAAAAATCTCCAGTTTAATAGTAATTAATAAAGATTGCTTTTGAAGGTTTTATCGCTAAAATTTGATTTTTTAGGAAAATCTGAAAGGAAAATGAAATTTATTACATTTCTAGACCAGGGGTTTCATCAAANTACCTGAAGACGACCTATAACAAACTGTGTTTACCTGAAGACGACCTATAACCAACTGTGTTTACCTGAAGACGACCTATAGCAAACTGTGTTTACCTCAAGACGACCTATAACAAACTGTGTTTACCTGAAGACGCCCTATAACAAACTGTGTTTACCTGAAGACGACCTATAACAAACTGTGTTTACCTGAAGACGACCTATAGCAAAAAACAAACTGTGTTTACCTGAAGACAACCTATAGCAAAAAACAAACTGTGTTTACCTGATGACGACCTATAGCAAAACACAAACTGCGTTTACCTGAAGACGACCTATAGCAACCAGACAACATGAACTAGAGGCATGGAGCTCATCCTCACCACTTCTATCCATCTGGATACCCTAGATAGACAGATATAGATATATAAATAGATAGATAGATAGATAGATAGATAGATATAAAATAGATTAGGAAAATAGATACATAAAGTTACAAGTAGAAAGTTGGATTTATAAATATAGAATAAATATAGAAAGATACGCTATTAGGATACAAAGATAGTCTAGATAGTTAGATAGATGTATGAATGTATAAATGAATGTATACCTGTGGGGGCCAGTTTTTAATATATCCTGTACAATGTACGACGGCGAAGTTGGAACCGTCCCTGCTAGGGCCCAGGGAGTTCCGCTGTCGGACTCTATTCAAGTACCCCAGGGACTCAGGGGATACATTTCCAACCTAAACAAAAAAATTATAAAAATTAAATTAAAATTAAAGATTTATAAATTTTTTTCATGATATGATATATAAAGTTTGATGGTAAACTCGGTTGAACCAAGAAAAATTTCCAAGAAAATTCTAGGTTGAGTTGATTGACTCTAACAGAGAAATTTTAGTTTCCAGGCAAAGACAGTTTTCTAAGCCAGTTTGATATAAATAAAATAAAAAATTTCAAAATTTTTTATTGGGATTACATCACTAACGATAACTGGAATATTTTAAAAATGATTAGCCAATGTTTTATTTTTAAGTTTTCAATAAAAAAAATCTGATTTTTTGAATTCCTTTTCCTAATTAACGATCAATGTATCAATTCAATTACAAACTTTTTATCAGGTTAAAATTTTAGAGGTTTGAAATATCTGAAAGTAATGTTAATGTCCAAGAACAGGGGTAATATGTTTACAAAAATAATTATCTTTCAAAACTTATTTTCACCGCCCCTGACCCTTTCAAACAAAAATACACAAAAAAACTAAGAAAATCTCTAAAGCATGATTTCCCCTGTTTGTAAATTCTCGACATCGGGGTTTAAGAAATCATGTGATCAACAAATTCCGCTTTAGTGGCCTTCAAGTGTTGATCTGATGCCAATAAAATACAAGAAATTAAAAAAAAAATTATTCTGAAAATTTGTTTTAGAATTAATTAAAAATTGAAAATAAAAATAATTAGAAATAACTTCATGATGTTAGACNAGCAGGCACATTGATAGATAGATGGATTGATAGATGGATATTTGAAAAGAAAGATAGATAGATAAATAGAAAGATAGATAAATGGATAGATAGATGTTTGAAAATTGATACATATGAAAGAAAGATAGGAAGAAATATGGATAGACGAAAAGTAGGCAGATAGATGAATAAAAAGAAGGATAGATATATTATGATAGATATAGATAGATGAATAAAAAGAAGGATAGATATATTATGGTAGATATAGATAGATGAATGAAAAGAAGGAGAGATATATTATGATAGATATAGATAGATGAATGAAAAGATGGATAGATATATTATAATAGATATAGATAGATAAATGTAGATAAAGTAGATAAAAAGATAGAAGATAGATAGATATGCTAAATATATGAATGGAAAAATGGATACATAGATAGATAAAATAGAATGAAAAGATAGATAAATAGATGGATCAAAAGATAGATAGTTAGATAAAAAGATAGATAGATAGATAGATAGATATATATATATAGATGGATGAAGAGGTAGATAGATAGATAGGTAGGTAGGGGTAATTAAAGTTAATTAGAGTAATAGTGGATAATTAGGAGTCGGTAGTTTTGCTAGTTTATTGTCAATTATAGACCCAGACGAGAAATATATATATTATCTTATATATTTCATATTTATTATCTTATATGAAGCAAAGCCTATTATATCTTATATTTCTACAATGTGAACTGTGTATATTGTTTAAAAAATAGGTTATCACAGAAACAGACTACATTTATTTTCAAATTAAATATTAAGAAATAGATTTCAGTATATTTCAATACATTAGCTTTACGAGTAGTAAAATTCTGGATTTAAGCCAAATGAATGCTTAAGTGTAAAAGAACCGTCTACGGAATTTAGAAACCTTCTTTTTATAGTACTATTTTTACTCAAACGTATTTGAAGAGTACAGTTATGAATCCGAACTATCACTCTACAAATGAAGGATGACTTTAAATTACATCTATACACAGTCCCTTTAAGCTTAGATAGATAGATGGATAGATGTATTGATGAATAGATAGATAGATAGATGGATAGATAGATGAATATATTGACGAATAGAATGATGAAAACCCATGTCGTCTAATTATATTAGATATATGGATAGATACAGAATATATTGATGAAAACTCATGTCGTCTAATTATATTAAATATATGGATAGATAGATGAATAAATTGACGAAAACCCATGTCGTCTAATTATATTAAATATATGGATAGATAGATGAATATATTGATGAATAGATTGATGAAAACTCATGTCGTCTAATTATATTAAATTAAAGAAAGAATTATAAAAGAAATATAGAAAGAATTAAAGAAAGCAAGAAGAAAGAAAGAACTATAGAATTAAAGAAAGAAAGAAGAAAGAAAGAAATATAGAAAGAAGAAAAAAGAAAGAAAGAAATATGAAAAGGAAGAAAGAAATATTGAAAGAAAGAAAGAAGAAAGAAAGAAATATAGAAAGAAAGAAAGAGAGAAGAAAGAAAGAAATACGCCGCCAAAGAAGATTTGAAGAACGAAAAAGTGGGAAAAATGTTCAATCTGTTTTTTATTCGTTTTCTAGTGAAACCTGAACTTTGAACCAGGGGGGGTAGATAGATAGATAGATAGAGGGATAGATAGATACGAAAGTAGATATATATTATATCCCGACGATAGATAGATAGATAAGACTGAACAAAAACATAAGAGCAATGCATATTAGTTTAAGAAGATGATGGGAGAGTGGGGTGAAATGATTTTGCAGATTTTCAATAATAAAACTTAAATTTTTTTTCATAATATTCTAAAAGGAAAAAATTGTAAAAGTTTAAAATCCCGAAAATTAGTAATACCCCCCTTGTAGGTTGATATATGCATAGTATTACAAGACACTGATAGCTAGAAAACCTAAGGAAACTTTACACTTTAAACAGGCAGAAGTCGAAGGAGTAGATAGGGTTTACAATCATCATATTTGTTGTGTACATGTCAGAAAATTACTTTAAACTCTAGTTATTCTAATTAATGTATAAAATATTTTTCTTAAGATTAAAACGCACCCTGATCACTAATAGTTCTCCTTAAATCTACTTAATTGAAATGTTTTGTTATCATTATTAAAATTAGGTGGAAAAAATAATCAAAACAGCCAAGAGCTATTTTCCACCTAATTGCTTTATACTTGTACTGTTAATATAATCATCAATTTTGTGATTGTAAACTCTATCTGTATACAGATACATTTATTTTAGCAATAAACGTTATCTTATCTTATCTTATCTTATATTAACATTTCCTGACCTTTCATTTATCCCCAAAATAAACCAATGTTTCATGAATTTTACGCAAGTTCTCTAATCGTTCTCCTTAAATCTATTTAATTGAAATATTTTGTTATTATTACTAACATTAGGTGGAAAAAATAATCAAAACAGCCAAGAGCTATTTTCCACCTAATTGCTTTATACTTGTACTGTTAATATAATCATCAATTTTGTGATTGTAAACTCTATCTGTATACAGATACATTTATTTTAGCAATAAAC